AGGTGTATTTGGCATCAATGTGGAGATTTGTTTGGTATTTTGATACCAAATAAACCTCAAGACAATGATGAATAATCGGTACAGATACTAGATTCAATTATTATAATTGAATACATTTAGGTGCTATGGGGTCAAAAATTACAGTGGGTAGCCTAAGTTACAAAGAAGGATCAAGACCACTCAACATGCTCGACCCATTATTCCTTGATCCATTACTTGACCTATTATATTACATATCTATGTGTGTGTATTCATAACATATGGCTTCTTTTTGGCATTGAGAACTCTCAACTGCGCCTTTCTCATTGGCTCCTTTTTGTGATTGTCATTGTCTCTCTTCTCCTCCGTGGTTGCCTCATTCTTCTTGTTCCTTTTGCCGGCCATTTACCGACGAGTTGAGCACCAACCGTGTGCTTTCTATCCATGCGTTTTTGGCCCCTGCTCACTACCTTTGTGCCCACTTCCTTCTAGGTTTTGGGTACTCTTTTATGGTCCATTTGAATGGGTAATCTTGGTCCAATTTGTGTGGTGCTGCTGTGTGATTTTCGACTCTTGATTTGAGCCTTAGTCCATCCACTTTGGTGCCTATAGTTTGGATCTTTTGATAGGGAAGGTTTTTTCCAACTTACTTCGATTATTTTCATTATTTATCACATAGTTAACTTACTTTGTGTTTGTTAATTGATTGATAGACGTATTTATCACTGTAGTGGCTGATTTTTCGATCTTTGTGATGGAATTAATCTACAGTAAATTTTGGACGTTTGTTGGTGGTGCAATTGAAGCATGGGTTTTTTTATTTTGCAATAAGGACTTGAATCTTTAATTAATTTCATATCTCTAATAATTACGGACCACAGATAAGTCTGCTCTTTTAAATTGGCTGAAACCCTCTAAATTTATGCAATAGCAGGTCATCGTATGGAGTAACCAATAGGATTGCGGACTTTCCTAATGCTAGGATTTTATAACTATTTGCCTAAATTGTGATATTATCATTTTTGTGGCTTTATTGACTGTTGTGTAATCCTGTGTTGTTACTAAGCTATTTACGACTAGAATTGTTACTTTTGACCTTACATGCTTGACAATTCCCTTGAAATTAAGATCGCAAATCTCACGAAAATCCTGGAATTTAGACCTATGTATATCCATGACCTTTAGGACTTGCTTTGTGTGATTATCTATGTGAAGGATTTCACGTACTACATGTCTTATCTATTAAGATGTTCGTGCACCATTTTGATTTAGATGTCTTTAACGGTAAATGTAATTTTTCTATTTGGCAACAAATGATGAAAGGGGTTTTATTACAACAAAAAGTTTCAAAAGCCGTTGATAATACTTTTTCTACAATTGTGAGTGAAGATCAAAAAAAGGAATTTGACAACCTTGTTTATAATTCTGTTGTCTTGTACTTATCTGATTCTGTTTTACAAAAAGTTGCACTACACCAAAAATAAGCTTTTAC